GTATGCAATGAGAAGATCAAGATCAACAATGATCTCTATAGTTTCGATGCCTGGACCAACGGCGCCTGGTATTAGTAAGTTGTTGCTCTCTGCGGCCTCGCCGAGCCTCCCCTCTAAGAATGACTAAATGCTGAGTACTTTTTCCAGTGTTTACAGCCGTGATCACATGGTGTTGCATAACGCCGTCAACAATAACAATTCGTTCACCAAATGTGCGAGTACAACCATTAATGCGAGCAACAGTGCTAGTGGGTCAGTTCTTTCCTTTGTTCGGCAGAAGAAGCCAGAGTTATATTTGAACTAACACCCGATGCATAGATCCTCCTCCTCCTCCTCCTCCGCCTCTCTAACTCTTCTGCCTTCTGGAACGTCATCCTCCTCCGGCTCTCCAAGTCTCCTCCCTTCTGGAACGTCCCAACCATCAACGAAGTCTTCGGCAGGAAGCAGCTCGTCATCCATGTCCAGGGGTGCGATCGCAGGTATCGCGATTGGTGCTCTGGTGGCGTTGATCGGGCTTGTCGGCTTTGGTTCGACTTGGCTGGTTAGGAACATTCGGAGGCGGAAAAGGCGGGTATTACTTGTCCTGATTTTCTATGTCTGGTTTCCGCTGAAATAGTTGCAAACCGTCCTCCAGGTTGATACCACGAGGTGAGTCTAGTCCTGGTCAAGCCCCACCATCTGCTGAGCAGACTAATTAGGCTACACCTACCCATCTCCTTCGTCCGAGACCAATCGGGGTACCCATTCTTCATCCTCTGCCTACCTTGACGGTGCCGTGCATAGCGGCAAGAGCTGGAGGGAAGCCGCTGGAGGGATGGCTTTGCCTCCGGCTGAGAGGACGGAACGTGAGGGGCCGCGGCAGATGGTGGATGAACGTCACACGGATGCGGGTCCTGCCATTGGTCCGCCTCTTGGGAGGAGTGGGAGTGGACGGCTTCCGCCTGCGTATGGTGGGCTGATAGGGCAATAGAGGGTTTATTTTTGCTTCCTCTTGTTTGCTGTTGTGCAGTCTGATGACGCTTGCAAGTCCAATTCTATAGAATACTACTGCACACTAGTACACTGGGCGAATTGCGGAAGAAAAGAAGGTATATACCAGACACTGTGAGATCCAACTTTGCTGGCTCGTCAAGTGTAGACCGCGGGCGAATGCGGCTGCGGGATAAGCTGGATGTGGGCAAAGCGGATGTTTGTTGACGCGCTTGCTGAGTGAGGATGGGTCAATCATTCCTCAGTTGTGAGCCTCATTTCATGAGACACATCCCAGAGTCAACCGCACTTTGCTCGGTCTGAAAAGCAGGAGTGAATGAATGGTATTGGTTACGTCAAGTTGAGCTTGGGTATATTTTCAGACCACGACTGGCATACAATTTCTGATAGCAGTCAAGTTTGAACAGACGAAGACCATTTACTTTTCTGCCGAATCATCCCGATCCTGCATAACAACAATAGACGTCCGATTGTCATGTTGGGTCCCGAGGACGTGGCTCGTCAAGGAGCGAGTCTGCAGCTCAGCACCAAATGCGGGGTCGTCCAACGTGTCAGCCTCTGGGTCTCGTTTGTGTGAAGTGGCAAAGTGAAACTCCGTCGGCGCCGGCTTGACTTCACCAGACAACGTCCCCTGGCTCCACGCGCGTCCCATAATAACGCGGAGGATGATCAACTCCGGAGCAATGCTCTACTTTTGTTCAACAACCGCGATGGAAAGAGCAAAATAAAAGTAAAAGTCTCACCTCCACCTGAACCATCAACGGGACGAACAAATTCTGCGCTGTATTCTTGTCTCCAAATAACCCGAGGAGGACGATGGATATGACGGTGAAGGGGACCGCAGATTCGACGACGATAGCTGAAACTCCCGTGTAGGCCTCGGCGTATGAAGGCCCCAAGGTCTTGATCATAGTGCGCCGGTGGTAGAGCATGCGTCCCGCGATGAGGCCGGTGAGCCAGATGGGGAGGATCATGAGGACGATCCACACCGCGAGAGAGAGCTGCGGCAGCGCGACGTTGGGAAGGGCGAATTGGATGACCACCATGACGGACAAGACTTGAAGGACTAAATCAACTTCGGGGCATTGGCTTGTTGGATACGCACCGATGCAAGCCACGAAGAAGATTGCCGGTGGCACGATGATGTACCAGCTGAAATTCCAGAGAACACCAGCTCGATACAACTATCAGGCATCCATTGAATCCATCAGCATGCATACGCGGACATAGAGACACACCAGCAACCCATCCGACAAAAACGACGCAAGGATCGAGGCCACATTCCCCAGTGTCATAAACGGAATGGCCTGCTGCTCGACGAGATAATTGAACGGCCCGCCGGGATACCCTCGGTCATTCACCCAGGCGTTCTCGTTGTAGCGGATACTACACGCGAGGTTGATCGTCCCCATGCTGAATACCGCGATGTTGAAAACGAGACACACAATCCACATGTACTTGGGCCTCGCTCGGGAGCGAGTGCGCGCGAGTAGTGTGTAGTATATCACCGTTGCGAAGACGACCATGTGGATACCTGGAGGGACGCTGAGGCATGCACGGAAAACAGCAAGCAATACATACCATAACCGACGGAAGCGAGATGCGTCGAGACATAATTGGACTGCTCGTACCACAAACTCTCGTGGTCCTCTTGAGTGGCGAAAGGTGAGCCCATCTTTGGTATTGTGTACGGGACTCACTTTACTTATACGTGACGGACAGCGCTCTAGCTTGGACGGACACCCGATGCGCGCATCCTGTTCGATGCCGGAGGAGACTGACAACGCTGATTTCTCCATGACTTGCCGGGTTGCTAGGGGTTCCAAGACCCTTCGAGGCGTGCCTGGAATAAAAATTACCTAAATGCCGAAGTGAGATACAATGGAACCATACCATTGCTGGAAATCCACGTAAACTTGTCTGCCAAAGTGATACGAAATATGCGGTGACAAAAGTGAACCTATCCCTAATTTGTCCCGCGATACAAAAGGGAGCAGTAACCGGTGGCGACAATCAGGCGCTAGGAGCCGGGCGGTCAAGAGACAGTTTACCGGACGGAATGCAAAAGTCACAGCGGCGTCCGTGGGACCGCCGCCAAAAGAAAAAACTCGCGCCTGAAATAATAAGCTCAAATAAGACTTGGAAAAAGCGCTGGTATGTATGTACCGCCGGAGGTCCCGATTCGGCCGGAGCAAAGAGTTCAGTATCATTATGGTCCTAGTAAACGGGGAGGTGAAGCACCCGTTAAGTAAGATGTCGTACAGACTCGGGAGAGAGACGGCAACGCCGGAGGAGCCCGGATGAGAAGGGTTACATCCCACGCGCGCGGATTGGCCAGGTAATGCATCGTAGACGATGAGAAAGAACACCAGGAGCAGATTATTGCATACCAAATCGCGAATCGAGTGGAAGCTTGGTGGAAGCAGGAAGAGAAATGATGCTGACTAATCCAAGCCAAATACCAGCCAAGCAACTCTCGGCACGATCTGCCGCATGCGATCCCTTTCTTTTGCCTGTCATCCTCCTTGATGCCTTTGTTCTTTGTCTCACTCCTGTATATATCTACTCGCTCTCCTTCTCGTGGATGAACTCGTGTCCCTGACTCTCCGTTCCCTGGATCGACTCCGAGTCCTCTCGCTTCGACGGACGCACCGTCAGATCTCGGAATACTGTCTCATTGTCCCACAGGATAGAACCCATTCCGACTCACCGACCCATGGCTGACCAAAGCAACTCTGGGCCGTTCATGCCCTCCACATCCCTCACCAACACGCTTGACTGCATGGCAACAGTCCTCTGCGCCCGCCGCACCGGCAGTCCCGTCCTTCACAGGCTCCGGCGCCACAAAGGAATTCGCCGGTAAACCTCTACCTGCCATATTCCCCACAATGGACGCGGCGGTCATCCTGGCCATCACCTCCCACTCGCTCTCGCCGCTCGAGCTGCCCCGGCTGCTCTCCCCACTAACCGCCCGCGAGTCGTACGCTGCCCCACCTGGATCCACCCTCGCCGCCCTGCACAGACTCGCTTTTACGCACTTCCCCACCCTCCCTTCGCTTCTGCGCTGTCTCACCAAGTACTTCGAGGTCCTCGGCGCTTTCGTCGCATCGCGAGGAGGAACCTCCTGGGAAGTTTTCGCTGTACTACGTGCCTCGACGACGTACACCTCGTATCTCACGGAGCTGCATCAGCACTATGAGTGGGCTGCGGTTGTGGCGTACCACGTCGAATTCCACGCCGCCCGCCTGCAGCAGATGAAGCATGATGGCGATTATTCGGGATGGACGAAGCCGGACCTCGAGTTGCTCTCGCGCTTTGTCTGGCCCAAGCACCTCCACTCCTTTCCTCGCGATCTCGTCGCAGCAGTAAGAAGGACAGGTTGAAGCTATGCCCATAGCCCGTCGTCGATGGCTCGGATTACAGGGCATCGTCACCACCTCCATCCACCGTACTACTTCATTTGTCCAGAACATATAATATTACTTATTCGAATGGAAGCGCAGAGAGATGTTGGACCCAGCCGGTTGATGTCCAGCGGTGTCCCGCACAGTACACGAGCAAGATTATCGCCGCGATCTTGGACAGCTCGAGTTGCTCAAGCCCGACAAAAAGAGGGATAGATCTCGAAGAGCACTGGATGACGAGACTGGGATTTGAACCCAGGCCTGCTCTCAAAGGGATGTATGATCACTGTACACTTGGATGCGCTCTGGGTGCAGTCAGTGTCCGGTCTGAATGCGCTGGATCTCCGATTCTAGATGTCCCATAATGAGTAAAGAGAATATTATTTCCACAGTTGCGTTGTCTTGCAGTTGCGCTGGCGTTTGACCGGTGACCCTAGATGTCTGAATTTCGAAATGGGCTTTCCCGTCTGATGAAAAACATGAAATTCAAAGCGAGGCCTGGTCCCAGAAGTCAATGAATGATTGCTGCACGGGAGTGTAGCAGGGGTCTCTGGTGAATCTATCCAGTCGGAACGCGTCAAAAAAGATGATATCGTGCAAAAGGAATGACAAGAGTGGGATTTGAACCCACGCCTCTTTCGAGACCGCAATGAACCCGTTGGTATACAGATAAGCTATTCGCTTGAGTGCGGCGCCTTAGACCACTCGGCCATCTTGCCCTTGAGACACCGCTCTCATACAGGATCCATCATGACATAATCATAAACAGACGCCATGGTCAGACTCGTTTGGCACATGGCCCACTTGGCCGGACTCCAGCGTATCCTTGGTCTGAGCGCCCGACCAACGTCGCTGACCCTGGATCACCGCTGCTTTTACCATTGTCACCGCCGATGCCAGCCCGAGCTGGATTCGAATCCTGCCTTGGATACTGGAACACGGCGCCGTGAGCACTCAAAAGCCGCATTATAAGATTACAAATTTACAAATTTACTGGCATCCTATTCTCGCAGCATTCGACTCATCTAGGCTTGGCCTCATGGTAAGTTCCCGGCTGCTTCCATGCATGCTTTTAAGTTTTGTATGAAGTTGCCAGCTCTGTCCGAAGATGAATGAAGGCCCCCAGATTTAAGTCGAGAAAATCGATCAACGTGTCCTACGGCCTACCTTGCATCGGGAGTCGAGCTCGACATCTCTATTGGTGGCGTTCGTGAGGCCTGTCTGACATTCAACACCACGGCAACTTGTTTTTGAACCTAATGGCCAAGTCAGAAGAAGCTTCGGCTCCAACGTATATTTATTATACGACCAGCTTCCACAAGCACGGTAAAATCTACGAATCAAGACCTTCAGTGCCGTGGTGGACACGCACGGTGAGTAGAAAAATTGTTCGTCGGCTCTCTTCAGAACGCCGAGTGAGGTAAACGAGGATCAAGCTTCAAGTCTAGACCAGATATATCGGTCTTGCACGCCACAGAATGTCTGGAGATGGGGGTTGGATCCGGTTGAAATACAGGAGGTAGGCTCGCCACTTGACAGTTTGTTCTCGCTCCCGGTAATTCCCTCGAAGAACGCGGCGAAGAATGTGGATCGAAGAACGGCGAGTGAGATGATTTGGGCCAAAGCCGCAAGGCTTTGTTCAAAATCGGTCCGTGCTGTCTTTTCAGGGGGTCAGAGTGCGACTATAAAGAGTGTTCGAAAATTCGTAGAAGAAACCCTGCAACAGTATGGTCTCGTCCCTCCACGGTGCATTGTGTCAAGTCAAGCAGCTTTTGCACATACCCTCCAAGACTTGCCCCGCGCATTGCAAGCTCTGCGCCAAGACTTACCCGACTTTCACATCCACGACCACTGCTGAAGAGGTCGCGACTGTGTTCGCTGACCAAATTCGCGGCAAGAATGGCAAGTTCTTCCGCCAGATGATGAACGTGTGCTGAAATACTCAAACTTCAAACAGTCCTGATTACTGGCACGAGTATGAACGGCCTTGGATTCGAGACGGCGCGCGTTATTGCCCAGCACGCAAACCTCCTTATTATTACCGGTTACAATGCGGAAAGGCGCGCAATTTCAACCATCCTAATCAACTCAGCTCTTATGTTCAACAACTCTAGACTCAAGTTGACGGAAGCAGCGCTCAAGAAGGAGGTTCCCTCAGCCAACGTCCGCCCGCTCACTCTCGATCTCGCACATCTCGCCTCAGCGCGCACCGCGGCCGCAGAGGTCAACGCATACTCGGAACCTCTCCACGTACGAGCACCATGTCTCGTTGTTTGTTTTTATCTCGAACTCACGCTGTGAATCTCAGGTCCTGATCCACAACGCCGCCGCCCCCATCGCGCCGTACAAGCTCACCAAAGACAACTTCGAGATGCAGATGGCGACGGACCAAATTGGGCCGTTCCTCTTCACCAAGCTCCTCGCCCCGAAACTCCTCGCGACCTTCACGGCATCCTACAGCCCCCGCGTCGTATTCTTGGCTAGTCGAATGCACGCGATGGCCCCGCTTGTTGAAGTTTCCTCCGGATCCGCGTTCGGGCGCCCCGCAGAGGAAACTTATACCCTCGTTGCCGGCTACTCTTGGGCCAAGCAGGCGAATATCTTCACTGCGATTGAAATTTCCAAAAGGTCGCAGGGAAAGATCCATGCTTTCAGTTTGGACCCCGGAGGTACGCGTTACATGAGTGAGTTGGTTGGAATGAAATTGAACTTCTTTCAGCAATCTTCACGAATTTGATCCAGAAGGAGGAGTCCAGGGCGTTTTACCAAAGCGCAGGTTCGTTTGTTTTTCATTCCATTTTGAATAATATATATCAAGTTCAACAGGCATCCTCGATGCTGAGGGAGAGCCTAATCACGATGGTGTAGAGTGGAAGACCATTCCTCAAGGCGCCGCAACGTGAGTCCCATCTCTCCATGTCATGACACGAGATTGACTCACAGTCTGTAGCACCGTTGTCGCAGCGTTTGATCCTCGCCTCAAAGGTCAGTCTCGTATACTTGTTCGAATCCCACCTGCTCATCGCGCACAAAAGATACCCCCGGGGCGTTCCTATGGGACGGATGCGTGGCCAACGATAAGTTGGGACCCATGATCACCGCGGTGAGTCCACCAGGCGCTTCGTATCCGCTTGCTTGAATTGACGTGATTAACAGGAAAATGCGGCCAAGGTCTGGCAGGCGACGGAGGATGCTATTGGAGAGAAGTTCGTTTTGTAGATACGGCGATGTTGAAGACAAGTAGACCATCCGCATCTTCTTGAACCTCGCTCGGGTTGAGCTGTTGCACGTCAACGACGTAGGTATAAGGCCGGGAGATCCACAGCTTGACTGTGCCAACGACACGTTGAATGTTGCTCCACATCAAGAATCTCAACTACCCGGGGTCGTGGACAAATGCATTAGAGAATTACACAGTGTTACTTTGAAGGTCCGATTCGGTGACGCTCATGATCTCCATGATGTTCAAGAGCACCCGAGAGCCGATGATAGAATATACACTGAATAATGCAATGTTAGACCGAGTAAGGAATCTAGGGGCAGGCTATACGGACGCAATGGAAGGTCTGACACGACCGGTGAGCAAGGCGCTACATGAGAGCTGAAACTGAAACTCACACAATCAATAATTCGGTGAGCGTCGGCCTGCCGATAGCCCATAAGATGATCTGTGGCGGGTTCACAGCTGAATCGCACAAGGAGGTCATCATTGTCAGCATCCCGACAATGACCGCGGCGGCGATGCTCACCCACGACCGCCAGAAACCAAAATATCCCATCTCGCAGGAATAGATTGACAAACCGCATGTTGTTGCGCGATGTGGACACGACGTCTTGCAGCCGTTTCTTGCAGTTGTACAACGTCATGATGAACATTGTGGATGTCTGGCCGACATTCATCAGCCGGTGAGGGAGGATAGGGTTCATGGACGCACCATGAGGAGCGATGGGATGGGGTACAGGAAGAAGAAACGTGGGACGTCTCCGAGGGAATGAGGCCTTGATTGCGCCCAGAGTGATATTACTCACTCAAGGAATAGCATCCGGGTAGTTGAGGTCTGCCACATTGTTGGTATCGCCACAATGGTAAGAGATGAGAACAAACCCAACGTGGACATATCCTGAAAGAATTTCAGCGACTGGATAATTCCAGGGTATGGCTTACTGTCCGCCTTTTTTATCGTGAATATAGCGATAAAAAACCTGCCAATGGTTCAACAGCTTGAATCTCCTGGCTCTATAAACACACATGACACCGATTTCGACTAAACGCCGGTCAGCAAGTGACTTGATGCGGAAGACAAACAAACCAAGGATCAGAGGTATCATTAGATACAGTAGGCGCGGCGATTTGTCGAAGAGTATCCACACTCTTCAGCGCGTGTCAGGCGACTGGGAAGCGGCAGATAGTGACTCTTACCGCAGGAGCAGGATAATATCTACTGTGAGGACCACGAGGGTGGATGAAACACCTTCGAACTAATGATTACAGTCAACGCCTGAACTGTAAAATTTGGGATACATACCTGAGTGTATATCTGGCATCTAACGAGAATGAGTGGGAGTTGAAGCCATCTGCACGTCCATACGCCTGCCGCGTTTAGATGAGTACGAAACACAGAGCGATCGGGAAGAAATCGTTACAATGTCCGTTTTCATTTCACGAAGAATCACTGCAAGTGGTCAGACGAATAAGTATAGTTTGCGAGGAATGACACGGACTGCTGGTATTGATACTGACAGACCCTCAGTTTGAGGCGAAAAGAGTCGACTGAAATCGTACCCGGTTATGATCAAGGCAAAGTATCGATTCTGCGATGCATGTTATCCGGCTTGAATACAGAGGAGCATGAGAATACTTGCCCACAGCTGCGGAAGACTCAATTGGACAAACTGGATGAAAAGAGAGAAAACGAGAGAAAACGCACGTAGATACACCTCGCGTGAGATTTCCTTCGTTTCCACACAAACTCGATCTTGCAGAGAATGTCAGGCGAGTCAGAATGTCAAGACGGGATGGCGCACCTCATGACCCAACGAAAGGAAATAATCGAATCTAAGGGCAGCAATAGGCAGCAATTCGACGACAACGCTTCATGACATCGCATATTGGACGCACACGAGAAATGTCAAGGCAGCGACTGATGGATTTCGTCGGTTCCACAAATTAAAGCGCGAGCAAAGCAAGAAGACGTACCTGCAAAGTAGCTCGTGATCCTGGCATCCTTCGCCAGCAGTAGCAGCTCCTCGAGCGCCTCCGGCGTCGGTCCTGGGGCCAAAGGAGGGTCAGGCATTGGAGGCGCACCTCAGACCTCTACGTGGGCGCGGTGAGAGAGAAGGCTCGGTGATACGGGCCCTTTAATTGCGGGTACTGGGGATCATCGAAGGTGGCATTTTCCAGAATACAAGAATCATGTCGTGGCATGTGTCATACACCGAGTCGACGAAGATCTGGAACGGCCGTGTGCTCCCGTCTCGGCGCGTTCAGGCCAAGACAAGGAGAATGTGGGATCCATGGCCGGGTCTGCGAACCCCGGTGCACATTTTACCTCTCAAACTGCGATCGGCCTTTTGTGTCTGTGAGAAAGAAATCTAGGCTTCGGTATTTGGTACTCACCGCCGGAGCGCCCGAGCCCAGGGCGGGACATGATCATCATTTATCTGTCAAAGCCTCCCGCCACGGCCCACGTCTTTTCATTGATAGGAACCTCCGGGAGCT